GGAGGTGGCAACTGAAAACATTTCCTGCAGTGACCAGATCTGGAGAAAATTGTAAGAGAAACACCACAGTAATATCTTAGGTGGAGTTACTTCTTCATGACCCTGACCCTTCAGTGATCTCTCCTTACAAAAGGATATGTCTCAGACACAGCAGAGAGAATCAGCAGTTTAAAGTGAGAGAAGCAGCCTTTAAAGACTCACTTGATGGACTATTATTTTGGAGGTGGAGTAATGAACTTTCCTTTGACAGTGATCACCTTAAAAAATTCTAGCATTTCCAACAAGTACAGACTAAAAATTATTTTCTTAGAACTGTTTGAAAATATATTACACATTATGACTTCATTGTTAAGGTTCAGATAGCCCTGACCCTCACCAACAGGGCCTCAGGAACCTCACAAGCCCCTGAGAAAAGGGAACAAAGTTAATAAGCACTGTGGTCTTTGAAGTCAAGAGAAGCAGACTTTCTCCAATGTTTGGCCAACACAGCAGGCTTCCCCTTTGATCTCTAAAGAAGGCAAGTTTTAAAAATCCCGCTCTTCTGCTCCCCCCCCAACTTTTAAAAAAATATATCTTCCCACCTTTTGCACCTCCCAGAAGTCTCCCCCTATAAAACCCAGCTCATGACCTGGGCAGACATTTTCCCTGCTCGGAAGGGAATCTTTCCCATGTGTTCCTTTGCTCATAAACTCTATTCTGATGGAGTTTTATCTGTGTCCTGGTGCTTTCTTCCAATCAACAGGATTCATCTATTGCCTACTTTACCTATCAGATGGTGCCAAAACCCAGTTTTTACTTCAAGGGACCTGTACAAGCCCTCTGACTGGACTTCTCCAATGCCACTAATTTGGTTTTCAGGTACACTCCCACCCTTCCTTTCTCTCTCCTCCTCTCCCTGGTTCTCTGCTTTCACTTCCTTCTAGCTCTGCTCACTGGGGAACATACTGCCTTGCCCTCGTCTTTTTTTGATCTCCTTTCCCATTGAATTCCGTCACTCCCAGACAGCACTAGTCTCCGGGATGGAGTTGCTTCATCTGTTCACTACCTGGGTTCCCTCAATCCTGGCATCTCACCCCCTCCCATTCCATGGGCCTGGAAAGTCCTCTGTCTTCCATCCTTTTTCCTGTCTTTGTCCTCTTCCACTGCCTTCCTTCC